AAGCTTCATTAAGGCAGGATGAAATGTGATGGAAGGGGTATTTTGTGTGTGTCTGTGGCTCACCGACACAGCTTTCCCCATTCCTAAGGTAGCCGGGAGGACACTGGCACGTGAAGGAGCCTCTAGTGTTGTAGCAGGTCTGTCCAGGCCCACAACTGTGAATGCCTGTTGCACATTCATCTATGTCTGCAGTAATCACACAACATGACTCTGAGAGGAGGCTGCACAATGTTGAAAAAAAGTGCATGCAAGAAAAACACGACCAAACTACAAGGCAGAGAACATGTCTAAACTGCAAGCAATTCTTGATATATAGACTGATTTATAGGGCTTTCTAAATCCATGATAACTGACACCATCAAACAAAGCACGCATGAGCATAAACACGCATGTTCACCCTCAGAGCTGGAGATTAAATGAAAAGGGCCATCAGCTCTGGGTGAAAGGTAACACAGAGATCATATCCTCAACCAACAATATAGCTTATAGCTGTGAAAGGAAAATTCCTCTGTAAGTCAGTGACTTGTATAGTACCCAAACTTTGTACTCAAATAATAGAAATATTACATCATTATATTTTTACTTAAGTGAGAGTATAAAGTAGCCAATCTGAGAAATTTGTACTGAAAAAAGGCTACAGAAGTGGTAAAAATAACTCATCACAACATCTCATATTTAAAATAATTTTAAAATGGCTGATTAAAATGTAGAGTTATGTGTAAATACTGGTATCTTAAAGACTATAATATATCATTAAAAAACAAATAATGTAATTGAAAATAGTAACAACTGCAGGAAAAAAAACACTTTCCAAATAATTTTCTTTTTAATTTAAAACCTATGAAACTAGTATCTCCAGTTACAATATTTACTACTATTGTATACTATCCAAATTTCAAGTTCAATTAAGCTTATGTACAAAAAGTGAAAAACAACTTTGACATAAACATTAACTGTGTGTCTTTATCTGGAGCATTTTATTCAAACCATCATGTTCATTGTTCAGTGAAGTTATTCACGATGTATGGAACTTTTTACTCAAGTAATAGTAGCAATATTTTATTAAGCTAATAAAAGTACAAATTATGGAGCAGTAAAACAACTAAAATTATAGTTTTGTCCAAAAGTTACTTCAGTAACTGTAACTCAGTAAATGTAAGTGGTTACTACCCACCTCTGGTAACTGGAGTTCATTTACTGCAAGGTATTTGAGTCAGAGTCAATGAATTAGATTGTGACCAAAATATTATTGGTCATTTATTTTATTAACTCAACTAAATGAAACTAATTACATGGGTTATACATACAGAATGGTGTTTTAAAGCCTTCCTTTGAGATAAAAATATTATTCTGTTGAATGAAAGATTTCAATACAAATGTGGGTTTTTAAAAAGAGTTGTTTAATGTATTCTTGTGTGTTATTTCTAAAAGTCACTTTTAATATGAAAAATTATCCTGATTGGAATGTATATTCTAATTTATTGAATATGCCCATGTGTTTATATGGCCTGCATATCCTCAGACCTGTTCTCTTTTGGTCAAATCTCAATGTATTGCATTGGAATCTTATCTGATATAAAAACTCATGGTTGTATACAGTGGAAGGAAAAAAATATAAGATTTTTTTTATGTTTATCTCCCCAAATAAAATTGAAACAATGGCATTCAGTTTGTTCAGTTGTTGTTTTTTTTTTTACACCACTACATGAAATAAAAGCAACACAGTGCGATAAGAAGTAGTAGATATGAATAATTAGTAAACAGAAATCCAATGGATCTAATTTAAACTAAGGATAAATGCAGCTCTTCTCTAAAGGCACATAAAGATTTTTAGAGAACTCAAGAAATCAAACAGCTTCATAAAAACCAGGGAACAACACAGTCAAGCCAAGGGAGGATAAACCTACCAAGATGCTCCTTTTTACCTAAACCGACAGCCTGTAAAGGAAGAGCCTTAAAAAAGCAGTAAATTCACACCAAAGAATCTGTTTAGGGGATAAATACTAGTCAAATAATAATAACCAAGCCTTTTAGAGGACACAGCAAACATGCAGTAGAAGGAGCTCAGGTCAGATGTGACTTCTTTGAGAAGGGAAAAACTAATACTGAAAACTCAAATAAGAAACATGGTGGTGGCAGTCAAATTTTGTAAGGATGCTTTTCTGCAAGATAATGCGGGAAAATACATAAAGTAAAAAAAAAAAAAAAAAAAGATAAATGCAGATTTTTTTGTCCCACTTTAAAATCATGTTCTATTATCTGTCTGTGTATAAAATAAAATCACCATAAAAGAGTAGGGAATTTGCAAACATTTTATAGAGCTATCTCAAGGTAATGAATACTTTTTTAAAGCATTGCACATTAGCTATAAATATGTCTGGTAAAGGTAAAGTGATAGAGTGGCTCCTGGGTGACTAGTTTAATACAGAACACAGAGTATATCCATGGAAATTCTAACATTGTTACTGTAAACTGATTTTCTCATTTAGTCTGTGCAGATTCAGAGTTTTTTTGTTGTTGTTGTTTTTTTAACAGCTTTCTCAGCATAACCCACACACATAAATATGTCAGTAGTGTATACTGTCATCCCTGAGGCCCACCAGCACTCTGCTTGGGTGGTCTGATGCAACCCATCATATGCAGACAGATACTAGGCATCAGTTTAAAAGCATGACAGACACTTATCCAGTACCACACACTAAGTAAAAATAGTAGGGAGCAGCTACTATTATAGCGTCACACCCTGATTTAAATGTGATTTGAAGAAAAATCAAGAATTGCTTCCAAGCTATAGATACACTAAATTCAAGCTTGTCAAAATTAGACCAAGAAAACAAGCTGCTGGTCCATCTTGAATTGACTCATGTTCATTTACTGAGTTTACAGCTGGAGAGTTTCTCATCCTACCATGAGTTTTATAAATGCTGCAATATTTCACTTGCACAGCCTTTACCTTGTTAATGAACAGCTTTACAATACAGGGAAAGACAAAAATGAAAGGCTAGAAAGGTGAAATGTGCTGGACTTCATGAGGGCAGAGTGTCTTCATTGAATTCGCTCCATAGAGGACAAAAGCTGGGCTTATCTGAAGGTGCTCCACTGAGACAACAGGTGCAAATTGCACAAAGGGTGGAATGCACAGACAGGGCTTGTTGCTCACTGGGCCGTTAAGGAAAGAAAGAAGATTAAAGAAGTTTTGTTCTGGAGAAACCTGTCCTCTGATGTGGTGTAGGGGCTTTTTTGGGTAGTGCATCTAGAAGTGGCACCAAGCAGACCTGAGGAAACAATTTACTTTTCTTTTACCTGCTCACTGCATGTGCAATATCGTTATGTTTTTTTTTTTATTATTCTTTAAACTAGAGGCATTTATAAACTAAACATAAACAAAAAATAGGTTATACAGAAATCAGATACAGAGAGACAATTTGCAATAACTTGCTATTTAATGGAACTAGTGGCTACAAAAAGTATGAAAGAATAGCAGTTTTTTTTTTCTTGGTTTTGTTCTTTTTTTATGCTCCATGAATACTAAGGATAAATAGATCTTAATTACTTGGACAAGATGTAATAATCAAAATTCCTGATCATGTCCCTGTGAGTCATAAACAAGCCCAGTTACTGGAGGTATGCAGTGATTCATGAAGACTGGAAATGCCCTGCCCTCAAGCATTAAACTAAATTCAAACAAACAAAAGTCTGATGCAGAACGATTGCAGCTTCCAGGCTAATGCCAATGCAGCCTCAACAAACCGGCAAAAAGCCCTCAAGCTAAAGAAATGCTGTGATTTTAGTGGCACTTGTCAATATTGGCACACTTCAGCTATTATGAGATTATTTAAGATGCAGGAGTGCTCTACACCTGCCTTTGTGAGGTTGGGCTTGAGCATAATAGTATTGAGGCTAATAGTATTAGATATACTCCTGTTGATAATTTTAAAGAAACAACATTGATGACAAATACATAAATAGAGCTGATATCAATTTGTTGAGACGTCAACTCACACTTAAAATTAAAAAAGAAAAATGCAAATTCACTGAAAATACAAAGAATTGTAGCTCTACTCTTTGCCCCTTGAAAGAATGTCACATATTGGTACCAAAATAGGACTTAAGAGGGGTCCTACCCTAATGGTGGATCTCCGGCCCTGCCAGCAATCTTATCCATTACCTACAATGATTCTTGGTGATGCCCAGACCACTGCATGTAGTGGTGGCAAATAATAGAAGATGAGATCTATTAAATAAATTCAAGAATCTTAAATGCTTTTTGAAGGAATCCAGTAAAATACATGTAACTCCACCACCTAGGTGTGCCAAGAGAGCTAAGGGCTATGGCTACACCTTTTAAAAATCTGTGATCAGTAACTGCAACCAGCTGTCATGTCAATGTTGCTTCTTTCAAATTACCTCATTTCAGTGCATAATCAGTGCTTGGACACATTTAGCATAATAACCTTGTTATCAGGTATTCTGGGGATGTTGTAAACTATAAGAGTAAACTAAGATTAAAATGCCTCATGTGATCATTTTCAATCTTTCTGCAGAGCAACTGTCAGTATTTTTGTTTTATCATGATCATTGTTTAATAATATGATTTAGTCCGATATCTCCCAACACATTAGCAAACTTGTTATAATGCAATTCTTATAAAAAGCTGAGTAATAGGCTATATGGCGATATGCTGCAGGTTTAAGACTTACATATTAAAAAAATATTATAAAAAATAAGACTATGAAATTGAAATTGAATCAATATTAGTATCAGCTAATGCAATATTGCAGTATCTGACACAATCGATTTCTTTTTACACACCCTAGTATCGATACCATGCCAAATTAGTACTGAATCCAGATACAGCTCTTTTTCAATATTTTGGAAAAACCTACTTGAAACATATCCTTTGCATCGCTGACCATTAACTGAGTCCTTATTATTGGATAACATCAATCGCTCCATTCCCTTTCATTCGCATTCAATGTGAACTCACCTTAAGAAGATTTTACTATCTTGAAATGTAAAAAAAACTATTATATATGAGGTAAGAAGTACATTACTTAAATCTACTTTTCAGTGTTTGAGGTGCTAGAGAATATGATAGGAGAATTAATGCTTTCTACTGTTTGAATTCAAGTTCGACTCATTAGCTGTGTTAAGAGCGCTGTTTCTTTTTTCTGCAGGACATGACG